CAGTTGGCTCAGTGACCCTTACAATGATTTCATCTTTACACATTTTATCTAACTCATCCTTCAATTTATTTATCAACTGAAATGGAACCTTTCTGCACGGAACTACAACAGCATCATAATTATCACGCAATTTTATATCAATGGGATCACATACAATTTTTCCCATACCTGAAAAAACATCTCTGAACTTGTTCAAAACATCATCTCGTGATTGCAATTTAATATCATTAATTGATGCTCTATTTATCAAACCCAATAATTCACAAGATTTCAAACCTAAAATTGCATTAGCATCCTTCCCAGTCTCAACAACAACAAAATTCAAGTCATATATTTTTTTATTGAATTTTACTGATAAAATCGAGATACCAAATGTTTTTATTGAAGTACCTGAATAATTAGTGATTTTCAAATTGCAAGGTTTCAAAATTTCCGAAATGTTCAGTTTTTTCAATAGGTGTAGAGGAATAGCATTAACCTGTGCCCCAGTATCTATTTTAAATGTGACATCTTTGTTAATATCCAATATTTTCAAAGTAATACACCAATTATTTTCATCAGAATTAGTATCAACAGAACCTAGTATATATTCATCACTTTTATAATCATTATCGCCTGATCGTGCTACATTCGAAAGATCAACAATATTACCAATTTCCTTTCCTGTTCCAAACCTACAAACTTTTCCAAAATGCCCAAACCTATTGCAACCATTGCATCTTCTTCCTTCTGCAGGGCATCTTCTATGTGATGATTCATATCCACATTTGGAGCACTCCGTTGAACTTGTACTCGCCGACACATGCGGAGATGTAGATGGATACTGCTTACTAGTAATCTGTCGACTGCTACTTCCTGTCCATCTTCTGTCCGGAATATTAACTCTTCTGTTTGTATAATCATTAACTCTTCTGTTTGTATAATCATTAACTCTTCTGTTTGTATAATCCTGATATCTCAAGCGCTCCTTTCCTTCTATTCCGCACATTTCAAGTTGGTTACCATTTTCATTATATAACTTGCGAATATGCTTATCTGATTCCTCGGCCGCTTTACAAATGTCTATAGCTTTATCTAGATCCAATTTTTCTTCACGAAGTAATCTATCTTTGATTCGTTTGTCGGTTACTCCACAAACGATTCTATCTTTGATTAAACTTGACTTCAGTTCACCAAACTTACATGAAGCTGCAATAGTTCTCAAATCTTTCAGGAAAGAGTCGAAATCTTCTCCTACTAATTGATTCCTAGTATTGAATTTGTGTCTTTCAATACTAACATTGGTTTTTGGAACAAAATAGTTTTCGAATTCCTGAAGTATCTTCTCTTCATTTTGTTTGTCATCTTCTGTCAAGCCTAATGTATCCAAAATTTCACGAGCTCCATCGCCAATTATATGTAGCAGAACTGCCGCTTTTACCTCTTTCTCTTTCGTACTGCAACCAGATGCTACCATGAAGAGTTTATAAGCTTCTTTGAATTTCTTCCAATTCAATGCTATGTCACCCTCGAGTGACATTTCCTTTGGTTGTTTCAAATTATCCATATCAATCTATTCATTCAGTGAAGCGGGTTCTTTTGAATTCATGTATATATACGACTGCGCCATGTAATGAATACAAGGTATGGTAGATACAACTTTTATTGTGCACCAAACTCGAACATTGACTCACACCATTCTTTTATACCAAGTCATAATGATTTGTTATCTCTAACATTCAACTATTTTCTCCGTCCCTTCGGTTACAATAATGACAGGGTGTTATTCTAAATAAACTAGATACAATTATATAATGAATATTCATATAACACATTGTAGTTCGATCAGGCCAGCGGAGTTCATAGACATCATTTCCTTTATAATTTGCAAAGAAATCGCTCACCGCGGCGATAATACCTAGGTAAGCGGTATCGAAAGGTAACGACCGTTCCCATTGGGGAAAAGTGCGAACTTAACATCGATTCCGATTATAAATAGTACCCGAATCGATGAGGCATTAATTCATTATCTACACAAGTCATTTTAATGATCATCAATTGAAAATGTTCGCCGTCTCCCCAACTTCAGGCCTGCTGGTCAACCCCTGCTAGACGTTATAATGTAAGTACTGTTTTTTTTTTTCAAGTGTTGTTTTGCATTGTTCTTTTTCGTTTTGCTAACCTGCCATGTGGCAGCATTTATTCATGACCTCTTCATTAAATCGATAAATGTCAATTTCATATGAAAACTCTTTATTTGGGGATTAATAGGGTTGGATGGTGAAATGATAAAAGCCAAGCGAGTAGCTTACTCACGACCTATAGAAGGGTCAACATCTGAGTTGCGACAATATTAGAAAATTAGACGCATATGAAAGCTTGGAGATATTCAAGAATAGTAATAGGCGACTGAGATTAAGATCGTAGCGCCAGAAAGGCGAATGTCGGTACTACTCTATGGGCCATTGTTGACAGATTGTTTACATTGTTCAGTAATGGTGTTTATGTTCATTTCGTTTTGATATTTCAAACGTTTAGCTTCATATATTTTTGAACTTCGTGTTTTCCAGTAAATTATGTTTTGATTGAGGACAAGATTATATCTGTTCAACTGTAGATAACCTACCTACCTCTAGTTGACATTTATATGTACCATATCATATATAAGCTGTTAGTTCTCATCATTATTGAACAAGCATATCATGAATTAACCTGTAATTTTCAATACAAATAGATGGCTGGGATATTCACCTGATAGCATAATATTTTTGGAAGGAAGTACCTACCTTTTGGGAATGAAATGTTCTCTTGTAGGTGAAGTTATATACCTCTTTTTTACTTACTTTTTACAACACATAATAATCAAATACCTCTATTTATATTCTTAATACAAAAACTGAATGTTAAACATCATTTTACAGGTACATAGAAGGAAGACTATCATATAAGCTCTCGAAAAAATCACTTATATGTAGTCCAAGGAAATGGTGAATTTATATAGTTGAAGAAGCTACATAATTATTATGGGCAGATACAATTGGGGATGGCTCTACTTTTAATCTAAACGATACATTTTTGGTTACATATTCATTTTTCAATTACATTATTTCGAATTTATTTTGGTTATGGCTTTGAGTATTCAAGGGTTATGGATAGAATTTGATTTTGAGTTTGCAAAGAACATGTTGTTATAGAAGAAAATTATATAAATGAAATGTTACATGTTTTATGTGAAACCCAGGGTTCTGGTTGATGAAATTCTTCACTGTTTATAAATTCTACTGTTCATGAGTTCATGATGAAAGATAGAAAGAAGTTGAGAATTTGTTTGTTTTTTATTATTACCCCAAGAAGTAGGTATAATATTCATAATAGACATATACCTATTATATATGGAAGTATATGGGTAAATTTTCAGTAAAGTGAAAAGAATAATCTCTCATAATATGCTCAGACACTTTTTTTCCAATCTTCAAGGTATGAATTCACATTTTTCTTCTATGGATCACTTCATTGTTTCCCAACTTAGCTACAAATACAGCTTAGGGTTGTCCTGATTTTGGAAAGGTATGAAAGCTATATTCGGAAGTTTTTTGCTCAAGATGAACAATGGGGTACACAACAATGTTTTTAAACGTTTATAGAATATCTCAAAACAAAATTATAGACGAATCAAGCATTCAAACACAACTACTCCTCATATAAAACACATGCAAACTGATGTAAACAAAGCAATCAATGGCCCATACGTTAGTTTTATTAGAAAATGGTAGAGGGCGTATTCCTTAGCATGATTCGATGGACCTATTCCATATAGCCCATTATATAGTTTAGTATTATAAATATAAGAATAACATGTGAACTCAACCATGATAAACATTTACTTGACGGTTAGTATTTTTCACGGTTTGGTGAACATATATATACCTAGTATATAAGCAGAACACAGAATAGGATATTTAGTTTTAATCTTCTCCTGAAGATGCTAACATAGTTAGCGAAACACATGTCGAGGCGTTTGGTTAGTAGTAAAACAATGTAGTGTCAATAACTGTTTTTTGGTATTATAAAAATTGAAATGTATGTATACAACAGAATCTCTGAAAACTCCATATAATTTGATGACTTCAAACTGATTGAGGGACAGGGATGATGGCATCTCACAAGTTGAAGGAAAATCACATAGGTCGCGTGCAAGAACTGTCAGATGACCGACCCTGGAGGCAAAACATATTTGTTTACAAGTGATCGAAATAGTTTTCCACAATTATTTTGGCATATGAATCGTATTTTTCCGCTATTCATCAATTCGCTAATGCCGTCACATTGTGCTGTTGTAAAATGCACAAAAACTGCAGCGGAAGATGAAGAAATCCAGATGGTACATTATGATTCAAAAGTAAGTACCTACTATAGTCACTCACATAGTTTTCATTTTTGAAATTTGGTTATTTTTCTGATTTCTCATCGGAATTCCTTCTGCAATAGGATCAGCTAATAGAAATGTACCTGAAATTTCTAGAATAATGCAAGAAGATTGGATTCATGCAATCAATCGGTAGGACTGGTCTGACATGCTGACGATCGTGTGTGTTGTAGACATTTTTAATCTATTATCAGCATCAGCTTGTATTGCAGAAGTGGCAGAAGGCAGAAGGAATTTTAATAAGGAATGACAACATTTCATAATGCTAACTATGTGAGATTACTATATACCTGAAAAATCATATTCCCTAGTCTCTTGCTGCATTTTTTGTGCATTGTACAACAGCACGATGGGAAGGCATGCTTGAATTAATGAATAACGCAAGAAACACGATTCGTATGCCAAAATATTGTGAAAAACTATTTCAACCTTATGATTCCTCTGTAACCAAATAAAAAAGTGAGGTTGTGTTTCAATAATTCACAGAAGAATGAGGTTGTGTTTCAATATTTTGCCTCCAGGGTCGGTCTTCGTGCACGCGACCTATTATGTGTATAGTTTCTACTAAATCTTAGTTAGCTCTAGGATATTTTACCTGTTCGATTTTCTTGATATGACTTTGCGGCAACCCAGAGAAAACTTTTGTATCCAGTTCATGTTTCTCCTTATATTTTTTAACTACCCTAGTAAGCACATCATAAACTACATCGTGTATAGGAATGTCGTCTGATATTTTGGCGGCTACTTGTTTTTTTACAACATTATGTAGATACTTCAAATATACTAGTCCTTCAGCACTACTTATGTTATCGGAAAATTTGAATACATTGACCAGTCTCTCGTACTCACATCTGCAAAAAAAACATATCAGAATTATTTTCAAAATGCCTGCCAGATTTTACACTGGAATAACGAAAAAAAGCGTAATGACAATGAGATTATTGATTAGGGTTAATATTCTGAATGGGTACAAAAATATCTCAACCGAATTTTGGATCACAAACATACATAGGTAACCAAAATGGCTGACTTCCCTATGACGGTGTATAGGACAAAAATCTGAGATACCTGATGGGTAATCGGTGAGATGAAAAAAACGCCATCACAACAAGGCTGAGGTGACTAGTGAGTTCACACTTGCGGTGCTAATTTCTATGGAGTATAATGTCTCGCTAACACTCGAAGACAGGACGGATAAAGAATAATTTTGAAAAAGCAAATAATATATTTTTTCTGTGACGGGAAAAAAGTTTGGCATTTCATCCCTGTTGGCAGGTTATAAAATGTCACTTTTCATAAATTACTTTTTTCCCGTGGGAAAAAGTGAGTACTTCTTTCCCGGATATATATCGCATATATATACACTGTTGATGGCTTTTGTTGTGCTATAGTTCCGAAAAATGAGTCAATAATACCGTCTCCGAGAAAGAACTGCAAGTCCTTTTATCTTCCATTCGACTTCGCGGTTACGTGTATTGCTAAATAACCACTGAAGTCGCAATTTCTTGGAATAAAATCACAAAATTAGACTGACAGAAGTGACATCAGATATTTGATTACTTCAAATGAATGATAAAGATGCCTACAACGCGGTGTCCCTACTGTTAAAAACTTGAAATTTCACGTCGATAATTTTCAGATATCAAAATAATGTAATATATCTTCTCAATATTGATTCTTCCTTTCTTCTGTCACAGAAAAAAATAGTGTATTATACACGGGAAAATATTAGATTTTAGCTCACGGTTTGTTGTCTCCCTCCGCTACGCGTCGGGAGACAACACAACCTGGAGCTAAAATCTACTACTTTTTTCCCTTGTATAATAAATAACTATTGCGTTATTCATCTCTCTAGATTTTCTGGGTGTTCTTTTATTGTCTCTTTAAATAAAAAATAGGCATTAATACTATTTCAATATGCTTGTAGTAAGGAAGGAAGATCATAAATTCATAAGTACAATACAGGGTGTTTCATAATTGAATGTCAATATTCGAGGAGGTGATTCTTGGGCCCATTCTAAGAAGAAGGTTTCATATGATCGTATGACCTAAACGTCCTAACTTTCAAGATACAGGGTGGTAAAGTTCTCAAAAATTAATATAGCCTACTACAATGAGAAGTTATAATTCCAAAATACCAAATACGAATACGAAGTTCATAAACTATGAATTGAATTTCTGAAATTTGATCAAAAAATGAAATCTATTTCTCTGCATTGTGATATTGTCATATTAACGATATCGCTAAAATCATCTAAAATCATGTAGTGAAAAGCTTCTGATTTTTTAAAGCGAAAACCGTGCATCGGATTGAAAAAATTGTAGAGATCAAATTTGCTTAGAAATGATTGAGAATTTCAGGAATGATTTCAATTTCGAGATTAATCAGTGGCATACCATCAATGTCTGCCAAAATAGGTATGTGAAATTCCATACGAACGCCACTGGTCGCAACAAAATAAATGTGATACACTAACTGATGCCTCTTAATACATAGTACATGTATGCCAAATTTGATCAGAATATCTGAAGTGGTATTACAGATATTAATAAAAAAACTATTAATTTTCGAAAACTTTACCACCCTGTATCTCCAAAGTTAGGAAGTTTAGGTCATACGTTCATACGAAACTTTCTTCTTAGAATGGGCCCAAGAATCGCCTCCCCAAATATTGACATTCAATTATGAAACGCCCTGTATACCTATTTGAAGAAAATGAATCTTCATACTTATTAGTAACTCAGCTACAAGAGAACCCCCGCATTTCGACCACTTTTCCCATGTGAATCTCCATATGAAAATTTAAGGTTCATTCTGCAATTTTTTACTCTTTCAAGGTCACCCATCTCCAACGGCGAGCAAAGCGAGAGATCCGTTCCAGAAATAACGGTGCGCATTTCATTACATTTTTCACCCAATAATGGCTATATACAGGGTGTATGAGTTGGCTAATAGTTGAGGAAAAAAATATATATACAGTGTGTCCACCTTAAGGACTTACCACCCCTGTAAAATTGTTATTATCTGATCGATTTCAAAAAACTTTGTTTTCTTGGATAGGTATTTGGAATGACCATCCAACAAGAGAGTGATTTTACTCATAAACTGTAATCGTGGCCAACTGCGACCAACTTTATTGACCCATATTTGAGAAAGTACTATTAGGGATTTTTTTTCACAATAAACAATGATGGATTCTGAATCACGATCACTTGAAAAACACCTTTACTGATTTTTATTATCATATAACACAGGGTGTCCGAAAAAACGAATTATGTTTTTTTTTAATAGGTGATCAGGAAAATGTAGTATTGTGGTATTTTTGAGAAGAATTGATGACACATTATTATTGAGGATCACTTCGAACATATCTGTACCGATTTTCATCATTCAAAAATACGATGTGTACGAGAAAACAATCAAAAAGAAAAAGTAGGCAATATGTTTTCATCAACTCAAAAAAAATATTAATTTGGTTTTTCGAACACCCTGTGTTTAATGATGATGAAAATCGGTACAGGTATGTTCCAAGTGATCCTGATTCATCTTCTTATTCTGAGTGAAGAATTATCAGGATGAAAAATATTGCTTACCTATCCTTTTCAATTTTTTTCTCAGACACATTGTATATTCAAATGACGAAAATTGGTACAGGTATATTTGAATTAATCCGCAATGATAATTTGTGATTATTTCTTTCTAGAAAAACCACAGAACTACATTTGCTGATAACCTATTTGAAGAAAATGATGATTCGTTTTTTCGGACACCCTGTGTTTTATGATGATGAAAATCGGTATAGGTATATTTCAAGTAGTACTGATTCAGAATCCATCATTAAGTTTCGTGGAAAAAAATCCCTAATAGTACTTTCTGGAACATGGGTCATTGAAATTTGTCGCAGTTGGCCACGATAACAGTCCAAGAATTAGATCACTCTCTCGTTGGATGGGCATTTCAAATACCTATCCAACAAAGAAAGGTTTTTTGAAATTGGTCGGATAAGAACGATTTTACAGGGGTGGTAAGTCCTTAAGGTGGACACACTGTATAAAGAGTGAACCCAAAAGGCGTTATACCTCCTCGACGAGTAGACTACCAGCATATAGGCTACCCGCTAGCTAATGATTCAATCTAATATATAGGGTGTTTGAGTCGTATATTAGTCGAGAAATATATACAGGGTGATCCGCAGTAATACTACCCCACTTTGGGGTATCAGAGGGTTGAAGAGGGTGCGGGTACTCTAAGAGAAGAATTTTTAACGGGCACTTCGAAAATAATGGTTCGTCCATATGCAAAGTCTGAAAGTTTATGAGATATCATTTGAAATGTTCAGTTAGGTATGTGATGGAAATAATTGATGCTGAGGTCAGATTTCATTAGCCATGAAATATGTCGAACAACTCTTTATCAAAACTCGTTCAATAACATGATATATACAGGGTGTTTGAGTTGATGAAGATTGAAAAAAATATATACAGGGCGGCCCATGGTTAGACCACCCCATATATGTGTTGAAAGTGAATTAGACAGCTGACGTATGATAATCGACATATGACATTTGACAGATGGCCATCGACAGATAACAACGATCGATGATACGTGACCAGGCTACGTCAACTACCAGCTTGCTGCTGCATACGTTCAATATACAGTGCGTTTGATTAAAAATATATACAGGGAAACTCGCTGCAAGACCTGATCAATTCAGGTGAACCCAGCAAACATATTGAACAGGCAAGGTATGACAGATGACGCGCTGACTGATGATTTAGATCAATATACAGGGCGACAATGAGATAATATACAGGAAAACTCGCTGCAAGGACTACCTACTTCAGACATGCCTAGCATATATTAGACAAATATGTAGAGCAGCTCCTAACCAGAACTCATGAAACTGCTCTGTGCTACACTGAAGGAAGTATTCTGGCTAGTCCGTCAAACAAATCATGAACAATACTCGTGATGTACGGTTCAGAGGGAATTGTCACGGAAACACCACCGAAATGCCACAGAAATGTCACAGAAGTGTCACGGAACTGTCACGGAAGTGTCAAGGAAGTGTCACGGAAGTGTCACGGAAGTATCACGGAAGTGGCATGGAAGTGTCACGGAAGTGTCACGGAAGTCAATCAATCAATCAAATCAATCAAATCATTTATTTTCCATAACTGACAACATACATTGTATAGGAATAGTCAAAGATACTAAGAAACTTACGAACTAAAAAAAAGAAAAAAAATAGAAAACTTACATACTAATGAGTGTATATGACAAATAGGAATATTACGTACACAAAAACTCGTTCACAGTATAAAAAACTTTGCCAACTAAAAATATTTTGATTTGTTTTTTGAATTCTGTTTCCTTTTCACAGTTTTTTATTGATTCAGGTAATTTGTTGAATAATCTTGGCCCAATAAAGTTTGGCGATGAACTGGTAATATTCAATCTGGCAAAGGGTATCCGCAGGTTATTTTTTTGTCTCGTATTGAAATTGTGCGTATCATAATTTTTCGGTGTAACTTCTCTATTTCTATGGACAAATAAACATATCTCAAAAATGAATAATCCAGTCAGAGTTAATATGTTAAGTTTTTTGAAAAGATCTCTGCAAGAGTGTTGTCTTGGTTTTCCTGTTAAGCACCTTACAATTCGTTTTTGTGCAATGAATATGTTCTTAGAATGTATGGAATTGCCCCAGAAGTTAATTCCATATCTCAAACGAGATTCCACCTGTGCATAGTAAAAGTTCATCAATTGTTCATGAGTCAAAATAGTCTTCAAATTGTATATCAAGTAATAGAATGAGTTAAGTTTAGATGTTAATGATTCACAATGTGT